TGTTCCAAACCTTTCAATTGCTTGCAGCTGGTGAACAAACGAATTGTTTCCATCCATTTTTTTTAGTTAATTGCCCAAAAAAATAAGAGCCATGCTTGGAGTACAGGGACTTGACTTACAGGCCCCTGCCAGGCATGATACATTTTGGGGGGGTGGGGCCAATTTTTTTTTTTTTATATTATTCACATGTGGGGCCTCGGCACAGTGAGATGCCTGTGAGGCCCCTGACAATAATGCTCATGTACTTGGAGCATTATTGAAAAAATAATTTTGATCACATTTTTAATATTTTAAAAATGAGTAAAATAATAACTTTATATTTACCACATTAAATAATTGAAAGAAATAATTGTATATGCGCTATCAAACCTTTCAAAATATTGTAGGTTTTTTTATCTAACCTTTCATGTATTGCACCTATGATCACCAAACATTTCAAGTGCTTGCAATTAGAGGACAAATAGATGTTTTAGTTTGACCAAAAAATTAACTTTGACCACATATTCAAGGGGTGTTTGGCGGGGATTAAAATTAGATTTTTAGTAAATTGTGATAGAAAATTTTAAAATGTGCGGTTGAAAAGCCGTGAGACCCATGAAATATGTGGTTAATATTGATTATTTGACTTTGATTTAAATTAAAATTTGATTTTAATCAGAAACAAACATGACCTTAATATTTCAAAAAGGGTAAAATAATAGCTTACTGTTTATCAGATTAAAAAATTAAATCAAAAAATAATAATTTTTTTTACTGTTTTAACGGAAAATTTGACGGTAAGAGGTTTTTTGCATAAAAGATTTCATCTAAGGGGTTTTTCACAATTTCAATAGGTAAGGGTATATCGCAAATAAAAACGTTTCTAGGGGTTTTTTGTTATTAATCCTTAAAAATATTGTCAAAGTTAACTTTTGGTCACTATAAGCATTTCAAAGGTTTGGGACCACGAGTGCAATAAATGAAATGTTAGAGAAAAAACTGCAACGTTTTGAAAGGTTTAGAGGCACAGTTGCAATTATCCCTAAATACAATTCTGATCTAGCTCTTGCTATTAAACCCTACTAATAGTTCGACATATTACTCATTTATATTGCATTGTAATGTTAGTAAATGAAGTCCCGATCTAGCTTTAACTTAAAAGTTGACAAATGATCACATTTTATGTTTTTATCTAACATTTCTACTCAACTTTTCCTAGAAATAGTGGAACAAATACAACACATACTTTATAACACTTGTAAATTGTTCAACAATAGCATCATTTATGTTGGGACATTAGTAAATAAAATTTCAATCTAACCTTCACTCAAAAGTCGACAAGTGATCACTTTTGTCTTTTCCATTAACATCTCGTCTCAATTTTTCTTAGAATTAATTGAATTAATGCACAGTTTCCATTAAATACACTTGACACGACACCTCTAAACTGTTCAATAATATTCTCGTTTATGTCACGATGCTAATAAATGAAATTTCAATCTATCTCTCGTTTGTATAATCACGTTTTAACAATTTCGATTATTATCTCAACTAAACTTTTTTCTAGGAAAAAAAAAATACAAAGATTCTATTACACGTATTTAATACAATGCTATAAAGTTTCGATTATAACATCAATCTATATTTAGTCTGATTTTACCCATTTTAATTATTAAAAAAAACCGTTATTTTTATTTCGAAATTGGTGTCATAAATACTTATTTCCTTGCAGGGACGGATCTAGGACCGAATTACAGGCCGGGCTAATACGTAAAAAAAAAAAAAAAATTACACATAATTTTGGATAATAGTTTTGACTGATTATAAGCATCCAAATAAGTGTTTGACATTGATTTACACTATAAATGAACATCAAAAATTGAATTCAAATATATGGAAGTAATTAAGAATAAAATTTCGAGAGAAGATTTATAAAATTTAATTTCTGCAATATATACAGAGATTATGTGGTCTTTTTCTTAGATTAATTGAAATAATGTCATTAATAGTGCTTATTAAATAGTGTTTTTAAGTGCTCATAAATTACGAGTTTAACAAATGTGATAATAAAAATTAAAATCTAAGTTTGACTGACTTAAGCTCCCTGTTTGTCTACCATTATTCCAAAAAATTATTTTTTACAGTAACATTCTCCACCGCACATTCATCCAATAAAATATTCTACACACAAACCAATAAAATTACTTTAAATTTCAACCACACATTTTTCAAAAAATACTATTCATTACTCTATTTTCCCCCAATAATAGGAGACAAACACACCTTAAATTAAAATTTAAGTTTTGGCAAAACATAATTTATACTATTTAATTTTTTTTAAGATTTAATATGATGTCTAGCCCCGTTTAAAGGCATTATTTTTTGAAGCCCATTATCTAAGCAAGCACGTAAAAGGCCCTTTCAAGCGAGCCTAATGTGCTCTTACACGGCACTTGTAAACAATACAACATAATTTTCACTTAATGTCTCGTTGAGATGTTAGTAATTAAAGTTATGATTGCTTTTTTTTTTTTTTTAACTTTTCATTTGACAAGTCGACTCAATTTTACTAGAAATAGTGAAACAAATACAAAAAGAAAAAATATTACATATACTTTATAGAGTTAATTTAATCAATGGTCACCAAACTTTGTTATGGTTACTATTTGTTCATCGATCTTTAAAAAGCTACTCGTGCTCACTGAACTTTACTATCTGTTACTGCTTGCTCACTAAAATTTAAAAATTTACTCGTTGCTCACCTAAATTTGAACAAAGTTACTGATTACTCATTAAACTTTACTATAAGTAGCAATTATGAAAATGATACGGGTGATTAATAGGTAATTTTATTTAAATTTAGGTGAGCAACGAGTAATTTTTTAAATTTCGATGAGCAAATAGTAACATATAGTAAAATTTAGTGAGCAAAGAGTAACCTTTTGAATTTTGAGCATGTAGTAACCTATAATAAAGTTTAGTGACCATTGATTGAATTAACTCATATTTTATACAACACTTATAAACTGTTATTTACGTCAGGAAATTAGTAAATAAAATTTCAATCTAACTTCTCCTTCAAAAGCCGCCAAATGATCGCTTTTTGTCTTTTCAATTAACATTTCGACTCATTTTGGAAAATAGTTGAAAAAATACAAAAATCCGACGACGTGCACTTTGTACGATACTTGTAAACTGTTTAATAATAATGTCCTTTACGTCATCGTGTAAAATAAAATCTTGACCTAACTCTCCCATGTAAGTGAACAAATAATCACTTTTAATATTTTCAATTAAAATCTCGACTCAACTTTCATTTTTTTTCTAGAATTAATTCAACAAATACAAAGAGTTTATTACATTAATTTAGAAAATTTTGAGTGTGTTTGGTAAGGATTTTTGAGGGAAGAATTGATTTTTGAATAGTGATATGATGGGAAATATGTGGTTGAAAAAGAAAAAAAAAGTATTGATGTGATAGAAAATATTATTTTATTGAAGAATGTGTGGTTGAAAATGAGAATTGATTTACTGTAGAAAATGAGAATTTGTACCAAACAGTCTCTTTGCTTAGTCAAAACAAGAAAAGGAGCTGGATTGACTGCCTACAACAAATTCTGACAAATATTTGTCAGAAAATCACCTAATTCTCTTGACACTCCTTGAATTCAGATTCTTCCGAAACTTTAACGGTAAAACTTTTCATTAAACAGCGCTAAAACCACGTGACCACTAACAATATTAAACTCAGCAGGCCCCACATAAACTGGCCAAGCCTCGGTTATATCTCCCTTCTACTCTCTTGTCTCGTTCTCTCCAGTCTCCTGCAGTTCGATCTAAAGGCGTGTGCATTGAAGTTGGAAAGAAATGCGGTTTCAAAAGCTGACGAAAAATCTTTACTACATCAAAAAAGCACAACGGGAAAGAGAAATGAAAAATGGAATTCAGTACAGATTCTTGAAATCACTAGAATTGCTGCTGTATGCGCTGTCATTGAGTAGTAAGTGATATACCTATAAATTATTTTTCTTAATGCGGATAGGTGAATTTGAAATTGTATTGTTTCTTAATTGGCATGCATTTTATTTTCTTCCTATCTAAAGTTGGCGAATTATTCAATTCACCAGAAAATTTTGGGCCTCTAAGTGAAGGCTTTGCAAGGGTTTCTTGTGGCTTGCTTTTTGGTGGCTGTGACAATAAAGAATTGGGAAATAATGGAAGTAGGGACTAGTGGTACCGGTGGCTCTGGTGGTGGCGCTGGCGCGGGCGTTGAAGGGTTTGATCAGAAGAAGCAATGCCGTAGGACTGGGTCCAGAGGGACCTGGAGGTGCAAGTCAGAAGCTGTTCCTGGCAAGGCTCTCTGCCAGAGGCACGAAATCGAGTACAAACGTTTGTATGAGAGGAGGAAAATGAGAAAACTCCAGCAGAAGGAAAATCAAGAAACCCGCAGTGGTGGGAATTCTAAAGCCGTTTCTGTAAATAGGGATGTGGGTGGTGATGGGGAGGCGGCATGGGGCAAGAAAAAGAAGGTAATTGAGGGCAGAGAAAGTGAAGGACAATTGGGTGTGGTTGTTGGGAATGATATTGAGGCAATGCCGGTGGCCGATGATGAAGATGGTGAGGATGAAGTAAAGAGTGTTGGAGTCAGAGGAAAGGGGGACATCTTAGGTACGGTTGGGTTGATGCCGTTGGCAGGAAACGATGATAAATCTAGTGAAATTCATACATCGTCTGGCAATGTTGAGAGAGTCATAGGCATAGAATTTGCAGGTGATAATGAGGGAGATGAGACAATTAAGAAATATGATGGTGGTGGCAGTGCACTTCAATCAAAGGGTAGTAGAGGGCGACCCAAGGGTTCAAAAAATAAGATGCCTTCTGACAAGAAAGGGTGTAGCAAGACCAAGGGGCTTAAGAAAAATCAGCAGCTGCTTGGTTCTAGTGATGTTCAGATGTCTTCTGAAAGGTCACGGGAATGTCGGTGAGCTTCTTATCTTTTTACACTTATTTGATCCTAGTTTAGTTTTTATGTGTATTAATTAACATTCAATAACGGAAAGGCCAAGGACATATAGATGTCAACGGTTTAGAATAACTAACATTAATCTATTGTTGTCTTAGTTACCAAGTTCAGACTATAATAATGGCTACCAACTGTTGCCGTAATTATAAAATCCAAATCAGGATAATAAACTACACAATAGTCTTAAGCTTGCGATGGCCCACCATCATTGGTGCTCCTTTTAGCAATTAACGTGAAGGTAGGTTCTAACGAGTATCAACGGATTCAATAGTCATTGATCCATTCAGAATAAGACACATTTTCAAGGATGAGATTTTGACGTTAGAGGACAGACCTCATTCAGAAGAAGATCACTTGGTTGTTGACTCTCGCAGAAGTCAACTTTTATAAAGTCTGCGTGGGGTTATAGGATTGTTTAGTAAAAAGTATTATAACTTTCCAAAATGATGTAAATTTGGGCTGACTTATTGCTGGTAAGTGCATGAGATCAAAGTTATTCTTCATTTATCCCAATAAGTTAATGGCATCACACCATTTGGATACTTCAAATGAATTGGAGTACGTCAAACCACAGTTTTGCCTTGCATATTGCATTATCAGTCTTTATTTTTTAACCTGTTTTTAGTTTGTTTGGTCGTTTATAATTTCTTAAGTTTTCTCAATATTGAAGAATGTTAGACCATACCATTTTGTGCACTATAAGTGTTATGTTGTATAGGCCTCTGAGGTGGCAGCTGGTGTTGTCACATTGAAGTTTCGGTGTTAATTCTATTCCTATATAAAGGTAAGAGGATAATAATAAGATAAAAAATTCAAAACACAAAGATGAGGAAGGCTTTTACTTCTATAAATAATTTTTTTTTGAGATGTTCTATACTATGGTGTCTTCAAGTATTTTTTCAATATATAAGTTAAATGTTTATAACTTAATATTTTTCTTACAGGATGCCACCAAACAGAAGGAGCACTGGGGGTCAATGTGTCACCAATGCTTCAAGAGTGATAATATTGGTGTTGTCATCTGTTCAAAATGCAAGACAAAACACTACTGTTATGAGTGCATTGCAAAGTGGTAAAGAGACTTACTGGTTCCTTTCACTGGCTAAATTGGAAATATGTATTTTTAATGAATGATCACTGGCTTGATAGATTTTGAGGTTGGAAATTGAAGAAACTTCACCTATTGCTCCTCTCAAATTTCTTTAAGAAGTTTCATTGAATATACTTATGCTGATCTCATAGGTTGATGTAATCATATTTATGAGTTGGTTGATAAATATCTGGTTACATTTTTTAAATTTGTATAATGAACTAGGTATCCCGAGAGGACAAAGGAGGACGTTTTGAAATCATGCCCATTTTGCTGTGGGAATTGTAATTGCAAAATTTGCCTTAAAGTACTCGAAAAGGTATCACGACCTAATTTATGCTATAATAGTTATAAGTTATTCATCATGCATCCACTGGTGTTTCCGTATTTATAGATGTCTCTTGGTTGTTCTAGGGGTGCTGCCAAGAAACCAATGATAGTATCAGACTGGAAAGGTCCCTATATTTGCTAATTAACATTCTACCTGTCCTGAGGCATATACAACAAGAGCAGAGGTCTGAGCTAGACATTGAAGCCTGCATACGTGGTACTATACTAATGTTGAAGTTGTCTTTCTACTTCTTGATATATATTACTCAGAATGTTTGATAATGCCTTTGTGCCTGTATTATTTTAAGGTGTTCATTTTACTGAGGATGATATACTGGTTGCTGTATTTGAGGAAGATGATCGGATATACTGGTATGTTCGTCAGCTATGACTTGATTATTTCTTCTCTTATCTCTCAAATTGAGGATATGGTTGAGCAGAAATTACTATGGATTTTCTGTTGTTGGGATTTGACTAATTCTTTGAAGCTTTTAAGCACAGCCATCTGGTAATGGGGTTTTTGACTATGGTTTCAAAAAGCTTTCAAGTGTTTTTCCCCATAAAATTATAGTGCTTTCAAAAAGTGGAAATTACATGATGAAGCCGCTGGACTAAACTATACCAAAATGTCAATATTCCATTATTTTAAACCTTTTATCTTTTTCCTTTATTAAGGTTGTCAGAATATGTGGAGTTCCAAGGCATTCTTTAAATTGGTCATTGAATTTATGTTCTATTTTTTAAGTTTCTCATTTTAGGATGTGTTTGAGCCACATTATTTTGGAAGAAAGTATTTTGGAATAGTAGATTGATGGAGAATGTGAGGTTAAAAAAGAAGGAAAAATTATTGATGTGATGGAAAATATTATTTTATTGAAAAATGTGTGGTTGAAAATGAGTAGAGAATGAGAATGAAAATTTTAATGTGACTCAAACAGGGGCTTAATGTTGCATTTTTTCACTGTACACATGGTGGTTTCAACTTGTGATTTCTATTGCAAGCATCATTCTTTTCAATATTTGGGTTAATCCTCAGTATACTAAAGGCTGTTCTTTCATAATTTTTTTCTTTAGACTTATTATGTTGCAGAACGGTTCTACAATCTCGAGAAACCATTTCTGCCTTTTGACTGTAGTTCATGATACTACAAATCTTAACGTTGCAATCTTCTTATTAACAGCAACAATTGCAAGACATCCATTGTCAATTTCCACAGAAGCTGCCAGAATCCAGATTGTTTTTATGATCTCTGCCTTGATTGTTGTTCTGAACTCAGAAAAGGTATTCAGCCTGGAGATATTGAGGCAAAAACTCTTAATGCATCTGTTGAAACAAGTCAGGATCAAGTAAATGGCCATGTACATGACATGTCTTTTGACTTCCCTAAATGGGAAGCGAAGATTAATGGCAGCATACGATGTCCTCCCAAAGAGCACGGTGGTTGTGGTTCCGAGGATCTAGTGCTCAGACGCATTTTTGACGCTAATTGGGTGGAAGAATTAATAAGGCGTACGGAGGACCTTACGTCTGGTTACCAGTCAACACATATAGAATTTTCTCAAAAATGTTGGTTGTGCCTTGTTAATCATTCTGCTCATGATGCTAATACTCTTTCGGAAGTAAGACAAGCAGCATGGAGGGACAACAGTCAAGATAACTTTCTGTACTGTCCTAATGCTATTGATCCAGGATATTCGGAGTTTGAACATTTTCAAATGCATTGGAGGAGAGGTGAACCTGTCATTGTTAGAAATACAATGGCAAAGGCCTCGGGTCTTAGTTGGGGGCCAATGGTGATGTGGAGGGCCCTCAAACATGCAAGCAAAAATTTAGAAGCACATAATTACCGTGTGAAGGCTATTGACTGCATGGATTGGTGTGAGGTAAGTGTTGGGTTTTATTTGTAGTTTATTTGTTTCATGCATTTTCCTCTGTCTGTTTGTGTTCTGGTGCACATGAGTTTTATTCAATTTTTCCACCGCTGTTCCTTCGATGCATTCTTGCAATCATTTATAAGGGGAATCACACTGCATTATTATTGATGATGTATTAAATGCAATATTTAGAATTTAATGTATAAAACTACGGACTTGTCTGATCAAGGTTTCTTCCCTTTTAAAACAAACAGTTATCGAGTTCCTAAGTAAGTTCAATTCAGCTGTTGATCGACCAAGTTCTACACTTGAAAGATGCTCATGAAAAAACTTAATGTTATGGACTTCAGAATTAATTGGATTGTAGTAAAATAGGTAATTCTTGAGTGGTTTGCCAAAAAAAAAAGGGAGAATCTTCTAGCTGACCCCATGTTTGTCGGGGATGAGGCTAGATTGTTGTTATTGTTCTTGAGAATAAATTGAAAGCTTTTTGGCAATTATTATTAGACGCAGGCAGTTTAAATCACTAGATGAGAAACTATAGTTTTTGTATTAACGTTTCTTCCATGTTACAGGTTGAGATTACTATTGACCAGTTCTTTAGGGGCTACTTAGAGGGCCGTAAGCATATAAATGGTTGGCCTGAAATGCTGAAGTTGAAGGACTGGCCACCTACTACTTTATTTGAAGAATGTTTATCAAGTCATGTTTCTGAATTCATGGCCGTGCTTCCCTTCAGTGATTACACCCATCCTAAATCTGGTCTCTTGAATCTTGCTACTAAGCTTCCCGAGGGTGCCTTAAAACCTGACTTGGGACCTAAAACTTATATTGCCTATGGATCTTTAGAAGAACTCGGTGTAGGCGATTCAGTTACCAATTTACACTATGACATCTCTGATGTGGTGAGCTTGTACTAACATTGCTGCTCTTATTTTAATGTCGCATTTATTAGACTCATTGGTTTGGATTTCCCCACAAAAGTAATGACTGATATTTCAAGTGATAGGGGGTGGTCACTTTGAAGGCAAATTTCATACTTGATATTGCTGTAATTGTATATAAAATCAGAATTTTGGTGTTTTGCTCGTCTTTTATCGATATTGAAGATCCAATTACTCTTAATGCATGTTTATTACTGGTAATAAACCACAGTGACAAAATTTCGACTTTTACTTCTTCCTTAATACTGACCAGTGTGCCTACTTCAACTTACCAAACACGTCATTGCTTTTAACCGTACACTTCTGATGGGTAAATAATATGTTACCTTTTCTCCATATGCTTATCACATTTTCTTTCTAAATAAGTGAGTCCTAGATGACCTGATAAAAAATTAATAGTAATTGACCGGTCTTATTTTAGGACATTAGTTTGTCTTTTCAGATACTCGTTATCCTGTCATTATCTCTAAAGCTTGGAGTAGTATTATTTTTTTGTTCAGTATCCCAATATGCTCCATTTTGGTCCCTTTTTCTATTTGTCGATGCAGTCTAATCTTGGATGTAGTTATCAAGGTTTTTCAATTTGATCTTTATGTGCCATATATATAGAATCCTGACTTTTAATTTTTATTTATCATAGGTTGGTTTTTGATTCCTTTGACGGCATTATCATTAAATTTTTCCCTTTGTCAATATTAGATTAGTTTGCTTCTTGTGCATTTGCCTCACCAGCCGAAATAGGAATGAGAATATTTTGGCATGACAGCACTAGACAAGACCAAAGAGTATAAAGAGAGAAGATTTTAAGGACTTTTTCTAATTTATTACTGTCTATAGTCCTTAAGAAAAAGCACTTATAGTTTCTCAGTAAAGATATTTTAACAAGGATGTGTTTCAGGTGAACATATTGACACATACTACGGAGATGATGACTACCTCACCGAAAAGAAAAAGGAATGCTAAAACAAGAAGGGAATCTGAGTTTGAAGATTCGACCATGCCCAATGATTCTCTTCGAAGTGGTGAAGACTGTCCCAAGACTGTACTTGGAGGGGCTGTTTGGGACATTTTTCGTAGGCAGGATGTGCCCAAATTGACGGAATACTTGCAAAAGAATTGGAAAGACTATAACCATTTTAAAACTTCTTCAGATTCTGTGAGTACTCACTGGTTTTCAAATATCTATTGTACTAAGAAGACTTGATTTTGTCTTAACGAATAGCTTTTGCTTTAGGTTGTTCATCCTATTCATGACCGGACTTTTTATCTAAATGAGAAGCACAAGAAACAGTTGAAGGAGGAGTTCGGTAAGATATATTTCTTAGCTTAATCATGTTTAATACAAAATTACATGAGGAAATTTATGAGAATATTTTATTTCCTTCCTATTAGGCGTTGAACCTTGGACGTTTGAGCAATACCGTGGCGAGGCTGTGCTCATTCCCGCTGGATGCCCACATCAAGTGCGAAATAGACAGGTAAAACTCTCGTAAAATATGCACGTCGGATTATTTTGCTATCGCCTTCTCTCCTCTTATAATGACGTATTGGTTAATATAAAGTTACCTTCTTCTTTGTCAGTCCTGTACGAAAGTCGCTGTTGATTTTGTATCCCCCGACAGTGTACAAGAGTGTATCAAATTGACGAAGGAGTTTCGTTTACATCCTCAAAATCATATATCTAAGCAAGATATACTAGAGGTATTGACTACTTTACCATTAAAATTCTATCTTTAAGCAATATTATTACTGTGAATCTCACATCGCAAACATGAAATATAGAATTGATATTTGATGGCATTATCGATATTCATTGTGCGCCTAGTACAGTGTTCTAGACATGAGTTGATAGTATAACTCGAACAGGATTTTAGCTCCTTTTTCTACCTTGATATTGTCTAACACTATCGAGTTATCCCTACCAAACCTGCTATAAGCGTGTAGTCTTTTATACAAAATTTCCGGTCTAAGGAAAAAGCACTTGAATTGCATGATAGAAGTTTTTTTCTTCTATTTAGCTATGGAAGCCATGATCGATGTACTATTAGGTTTATCATGATCAAAATTATATTTGCTACAGGTGAAGAAGCTGGCTATTTTTGCTGCAAGTGTTGCCACAACTGAAGCGAAAAATTTGATGTCTAAACTTGAGTAAAATTTCTTGTACTCTTCAATATGTTCTCGTTTGCATTCCTATTCGATTTAGTCTTGATTTATTCTGTACTTCTTGCTAATGCTACACTTTCTTCATAGGAATGCCAATGAATCGAATTCTTATGTGGTCCACTTAGCACGGTAGGGCAACACCTGGGGCAAGCTGTTGAAGTTTGAAGGCACCCTGGGGACAGAACTAGAGATACAGAGGATCAAGATCGCCATTTATGATCTACAGAATTGAGAAAGTTTTTCATTACCCTGATAAACCGTTGTTGCCCTGTTCAAACTCGTATTTTTCTGATGTATGTTTAGGTTTTAACCTTTATACATTTGTTTAAGCACATTTTTCCCCATACAAACTAGAAATGTCACATTTTGGTAGACATACATATGCTTTATCATAGCATCACAGATAGAAATGTCAGGGGTAGGGGTGGGGGTGGGGGTGGGGGTGGGGGCGGGGGGTGGACAGGACATTTTCTACTGTGGAGTTAGAAATTAAGGACGCTCGAGCAGAACTCAGACACTCCAAGGACGGTAGGTTTCAATCATTGGCCCTCGAGTGCCCCAAGTTTCTATTATGTCAAACATTGACACGACATAAGCACGAGTTTTCTAAAAACTAAAGATGAATATACACAAAAAATATAATTTGACGAATAAACTGGAACAAGAAATTAAAAAAAAATAATAATAATAATTTAACTGATAATTTCTAATACATGAACAACAATGAACATATTTGCTATTGCAACAAGTTTGTTGGATTTTTCAAATGAAAGAAGAATATTGTTATCAATCATATTTCCAAACGTGTGATATCCAATGAATGTAATAGGGAAATAACAAATTGCAACAACAATATATACAAATATTCAGGGGGCGGAGCAAGATTATTGTTTAGTGTGAATGAAATTTAATCAAGATTTGAGTTTTTGGGGGCTTGAAACGTACATTAAATATGGGTCATTAAATTATAGTATGTAACATGCATTCATATTTTTCTTAACTAATCCATAAATACTATAATTGTTATGAAAAAAGAGAAAAATAGTAGAGAGAATAAAAGTCAATAGATTTGTGTGTATTATAATGAGAACCAAAATTCTATATTTATATAGCAGGATTAGGGATGCAATAATAATAATTTCTAGGGCTATAGGGGTACAATTGTCATTCACTAATAAACTTACCATTGACAACATTCCTCCTTAAATGACACATTACAAAATATATGTATTCTTAAAACCTTGTTTGATAAAAATTCAATGAGACAAAAAATCAAACGAAGGAAAAAGAGTACACTTATTTTGGAATATTAAAAATAAATGTTGTTTCATTAAAATCTTACTAAGAAAACTCAGTGGGATAAAACCTAAGTGAAGGAAAAATAGTACAACTACTTCCCCTGATATTGATCACTAAAAATCTTTGAGTTGATACATTCCAATCATGTGAACCAATTTCTTAAATGTAGATATTGGCAGTGCTTTTGTAAATAAATGAGTCGCATTATCACTTGAGCGAATTTACTGAATATCGATGTTTTCATTAGAGATGGCAACGAGGAGGGTATGGGACGGGTTGACTATTCCCACCCCAGTCCCGTCGGATTTTTTTGTTACCTTACCCCATCCCCATACCCGCTTAAAGCGGGACGGGGCGGGACAAGTTTTATGCCCCATTGATCGCCCCATTTATTTTTTCTTTATTTTATTTTTTACTTTTAACTTTTTTACATCTTTAGTTAGTAAATATTATTAATTTTTACCAATTTATTTAAAACAACTTATGCTCTCTTAAAAAATGATGATAAATATATTATTTTGTTTCATAAAAAACTTAAATTTGAAATTAACTTTAAACAGGGTGGTTAGCGGGAAGGGGATTATGTTTCCCGTACCCGTCTCATACCCTCTTCGGGGCAATGAAGCTCGTCCCGTCCCCGCTCCGTTTACCCGGTTAGGCAGGTAATCCCTGCCCCATTCGGGGTTGGGCCCCACGGGTATCGGGTTAAGCGAATTTTTTTGTCATTCCTAATTATCATTCTTTTGAAACTTATGTGTATGAAAGAATTTTGAAAAAAAATATGCTTCGTCTGTCAATACAAGCAACATTGTTTTCATACAAAATTTTTTCATACAAATTGTTGGACTATCTTTTATTGAAACTAATTCACATGATACTTGGATATGATGGGTCATGTTCCTTAACCATACACATTCTAGGCCTGCTTTATGGATTGCAATAATTTCAGAATGATTTGAGGATATTGCTGTCAAAGATTGTTTCACAGATCTCCATTCTCCATGATATAATTGTTTCTCCAAGTGTAAACACGTATCCTGTTTGTGAATTTATGTGGGTCAGAGAGATAATCTGCATATGCATATCCCACTAAAGCAGATCCCTGATTTTGAGAATAAAACAATTCCAAATCAATAGTACCCTTTAGGTCACGAAAAATATTTTTAATATCATTCCAATGTCTTTGTATTTATGTACAGTTATATCTTGCAAGGAGATTTACAGAAAAAACTATATCGAGTTGAGTACAGTTTGCAAGATAAGTTAATGCTTCAATTGCACAAAGATATGGTATTTCAGAACCAAGAACTTTTTCTCCATCTTCAAGTGGCCGAAAATGATCATTTTTCATATCAAGTGATCGAACAACCATATGTAATGCCAATTGATGTACATTATTCATATAAAATCGTTTTAAAACTTTTTCTATATATGTAGATTGATGATCAAATAATCCTTCTGGAAAATGTTCACTCTGCAACCCGAGACTCAATTTCGTTTTCCCAAATCTTTCATCTCAAATTCATTTTTCAAATAATCTGCATTTTTATTGAGCTCTTCAAAAGTTCCAATTAAATTTAAGTCATCAACATAAACTGCCACAATTGCAAATCCAATATTTGTTTTCTTCATGAAAACACATGGGCAGGCATCGTCATTTTTATAGTCTTCTTTCAACAAATATTCTATAAGGCGATTATATCACATGCGTCCGGATTGTTTCAATCCATATAATAATCTTTGCAATTTAATTGATAACATGGTTCTCGAGCATGTATCATTTATTTCTTGCACTTTAAGTCCTTCAGATACTTTCATATATATGTCACTATCAAGTAAA